TTGATTGTGTGTGCATAAAACACTTGAATTTGAACGTGTAGTTCGTGAGAAGTGATGCGGAGAGTTTGATTGAAGTGGTGTGTTTCTATGTGATTGTGTGTAGGTTGAGTTGAGTTCAGTTGAGTTGAGTTGAGTTGACTGTAGTAGATTGAATTGGTGTGGTTTGAATGATATAAGGATAATGGTGTTGACCTGACTGATTCTTAAATAGTGTGAAGAGTTGATGTTTTGAGTGAATAGTCGATTTGTGTTAGTTTTTTCATATGTAATTATTGTGTTGTTTGATAGTGTGAATTGTGTTGAGTATTGAAGATGAGTGATGTGGATCGTAAGCACATTGTAATGGACTGATGCTTGGATTGTTTGTTCTTTGTATGACGTCGTCACTATGTCAATAATTTTAATTCGCAAATAGACGTTCATGAAATAATTCAACATATGTTATAGCACTGTTAACTTCCGCTCATATGTATAATTGAAGTAATAGGTTGAAATGGATGTTGATGTTGTTAAAATATACTCTACCGACTACTTTGTGTGATCTAATCATGACTAACGTGACACCCTAATAATTTGCATGATGGTGCGAGTGCAACTAATTTTAACTTTCATATAATCATGAACTTGATAAAAATAGCGCCATATGGTCTTTCAAATACTTGAACTCAACAAAAGTTTCCAATTGTGCAAGTGAACAGTAAATATGAGATGGTGCTTATGTGAAATTACAAGAAGTACTCGCTTTTGGTGTGGAATGTTTATTAAAGTATTGAATAAGAATCAATGGGTCGTTTTTTTTAAGACGGCATTCTTAGACTTTAAGTCCTAGCATTCAGCCTTGACGATGAGTTCATCACTTTTCCTAACATTTTTAGTAAATGTAGCATAATTGCACTAATAGTGACGCCAGATCGTGATGACAACCCCAACATCACTTTGCGAGCCGTATTCATAACTGCAGATGAAATCTTGATACATAACCTCAACCACTTTTAGATTGTAGCTGATGTCACTCGATGACGACCACCATATGAGATTATAACCTGAACCGAAAAGACTAGACTTATTACCCATTGTGATTGGCAATATTCTAATTAAATTGCTAACTAAGGATGCTCGAAATAGTGCAGTGTAAGCCAAACGGAACTAGATAAGCAACGAATTGCACCTCTTATCCTACGATTCTTTGTGTGTATGTTCGACTGTGCATTGCATGTAGAGTCTGTATGATTTAGAATATACTAACTAGCGTAGGAATCAACAGACAAAATATGAGCAGAGTCACCTGGTCGTTGTGACTAGTCTGCATGTGAACCACATATTTATTGAATTGTTTTAGTAGACCTTCCATAGGATGCGGTGACAGAGTTATTCTACGAAGATATTTTATTTAAGCGATTCAACCTTTGTTTCGTCCGCGTACGGTCTAGTAATTCCTTACCGAAGGACTTCATTTGCTCTCCTCTTTGAGTCTTTTGACTTCGCAATAATAGCAGAATCGACATTTGTTTTACAGGTTTTGAAATTTCCTGCTTACATATGAGAATGAGGGGACTCCAGAGTTTTTGCGTTAGTTTCCGCTCTGCGACTCTGTACTTAGTGAGTTGTCAAGCACTTCATTAGAAACATTTCTATTGGCCGATAGAAAATTCTGTCACTGAAGCAGTCTAAAACTTGTAGACCTTGTATAGACGGTTCACAATTTGTGACTGAAGATTTTTCGTCTCCGATTAACATAATACAACATCAATAAATAGAACGATGATGACAGTAATACTCGAAATGCGAACTCTAGCAGGCATAATTATAGCATCAGGGTTCAATGACTTCAACTACCCAACCGAAATGATAGACGTTATGCTGCCAGTGTGTAGAGTAGAATGGTGGAGAGCACCACTGGGCAGGTGAAATCATTTTTGAATATGATGTGAATTATTGAAAGTTTTAGATAAGAACTGCTTGCTCACATACCTACTTGGGCCTGTTACACCTCGTCTAGGAGTATTGGTCGCTCACTAGCATTCTTCATCCAACTCTATCCTGCACAATCCTTTTCAGTTGTTTCCAGTTGTTTCTTACTTTGCCAATCCTACACTGGGTGTATTCCTTTGCATTTGTTCACATTACGTCGAGAAATAGAAGCAAATATGAAAAAGATGAATAACAACTGGAAAGGATCGTCCAAGACAGGATTGAATAGAGAGTGCTTGTGTGCGGCTCATGTCCCTCTACATAAGTAACAGGCGTAAAGAAGATTTTGAAACAATCAAATTAATTAACCTTCAATTTATCAAGACCATATTTAGGACCGGAAATTTGGTAACAAATGAAATCAACTTTAGAACAAAATCATCATAATAAATCAAATGGATTTACATATATATTTAAAATACTCATAAGAATTAAATAAAGAGACATACAGTTTAAAAAACAAGCTAAAAATACAATAAAAAAAGAAAACAAGATTAACCGGGATACAAGAAACTGTGGTGGACCAGACAGATATGGACGCGTAAAGTATCAACAATGTTACTAGAGATCAGTAGTAATATTATATATATACCAGTTAATCGTTACAAATACAATAAAAATTTGGAACGTTACTTAATTTGACCAAATGTTGCGTGTTCCGATATTGTAAATCCACAATTATAAATGCTTGGTGATTGTTATCGGATTGACGAACACTCCAGCGATATAATCCAACGTGTAATGTGATATATTCCAATTACAGTCTATAAATAATGATAGTATTTGATTTAGACTTCAGTTAACTCAATAACAAACGAAGTTAGAACGAGGAATATGTGTGTAGTAGTGTATTTGTTAGCCATCAAGAATATGTCACGCTATGTCAGTATCACAAAGGAAAGTTTGTTCAAGGTCATTTACTAAAACAACAGTTACAGTCGATAAATGTTCGATATACATACGGTGGAAGGTTGACAAAATCAATATAAGTAATATTAAAAGCTATTTACAAAATAAGCTTGTCAGTCATATCTCCACATAGCTCCCCCAGAGTATCCGGAGGTATCACTGGTTATAATGACAAAAAGATGTAAGGATATGGTATATACTTGTATACAAAAATAATATTTACAGTTATAACCGACAAAAATGTTGAGCTGAGTATGACATGTAGCAGAGATGAAGCATAGTATAATAAACACACAGAAATAAATGAAAACATTTTCATTTAATGTCTTGTTTGGCTAACAATGATAATAATTTGTAAAACTGTTAATGACAAAACGAGTATTTGTGGAAAAATGTGTTTATGTACACTGTGAAAAGAAAATAAATTTTTTCGGTGAAATTAGTAGTGCGGGACATCGGTAGATGTTTGCTTTGATTGTTTTTTTAATCGACGTAATGTAATGTGAGAGTTGTACCATAGACTAGCTCAGCAGCTGTACACCCAATGTCTTCTTTGATTGTTGAACAGATAACCTAGGATTACAAGAGGTAATGCATCGCTCCATTTTGATGTGTCGTTTTGTGCCATAAGCGAGCTTCTTAGTTGGCGGTGAAATCTTTCGACCAAGCCATTAGATGCTGGGTGGTAAGCTGTGGTTTTAATGTGGTTGACCCCTAGAAGTTTAGTGAATTCCTGAAAAAGGACAGATTGAAATTTGGGACCACGATCTGTTGTGATTATTGATGGTACTCCATAGCTAGATATCCAGCGGTTGAGGAAGACTGAATCGATTGTTTCTGCCGAAGTGTCATTTATGGAGCAGACTATGGCCCAACTAGTGAACCTGTCTACTGCAGTAAGGTTGTGCGTGAATGAGTTTGATGGTGGCAGGGGCTCCTTTAAATCCAGATGCACGTGCTGGAAGCGTTTGTCGAGGATAGGGAACTTCGCAGTGGGTGTAAAAGACCGTGCAAGTGTTGAGATATTTTTAAGAATATAAAGGATTCATGCATAGATATGAATGATCAAATATATCTGATTAGAAATGTGCGAGTAAACAATGTACGACTAGCTGGTAGTAGTAGACGGAGTATAGGCAAGAGAATGATCATAGTAACATAAACACTAATCAGTCATAATAATGAGAATAATAATAGGGAGAATACCATTTCAAATGTTTGAGTAAAATTACTGTGGTAAATAAGCTGCTTAGTGAACAAAACGAACAATGGACTAGATAGATATATAGAGAAAATGAAACAGAGAGTATATATTTAATACATACTGAAGCGCAAACAGGACACCGATTCAGCCAAAGTTGCGAATCCACCACAGGTAATAGTGGATGTCGTGAAAAGAGTTGAACTTGTATGCATTCTTGACGATTCAGACTTCATTCGGTCATTCAAGCCAAAAAACAGATTAGGTGTCTTAAAAGTAGATTCTCTAGAGCATACTACTTTGCCATCTTCTTCACGTATCGGAGTGCAATCTTCTCGAACGTATCAGCGAAACAAGGGGGTAAGGTCCACTGCATTTTCGGTCGGGATTAATCTGTTTGTCGAAAACATATGTTCCTTGGCTGTGATTTGAATAAAGAACCTTTCTTCCATTGATGGTTCCTATTTGTGGCTCAACAGTACATAAACAAAATGATGGGTGGCGCTGAGAACAGCATTCCAGCTCCCAATACTTGCTGGACGAGACGACGATGCAGGTGCATTCCTCGTCTATAGGTATTCTTTGTTCGAGTTTCAACAGGTGGAAGCGAACGAGTGGTAGATGTAACTCGATTCAAAGAACTTACGAAACCCGTTCTATTTGTATTCCAAGGACTAACAGAAACATCTGACTCAGCGCCATCGGATGCTGCAACTGCAGAAACACTTGTTCTAGAACAAGGACGAGTCGAAACCACAGCTCCATGGACATTTGATGTGTATTCTGATTCGGATGTGCTCACTAGCTGATTAATCATTTGATCAGTTAAAAGTTCAGAACGAACGCATGCCAAACCAGCAACAGTAGCAAGTTCTTCTTCCTCTTCTTCTAGCATTGCCTCTTCAGACGTATCAGCGAATTAGCGGTGTAAGGCATCTGAATCATTGACCATTTTCGCTGACTCATTTATACCTGAAATATACCTATCGAATGAAGTAGGTGCTATTGGAGACCCTTTACTTTCTTCCTCTTCTTCTTCGTCTTCTAAAATCATACTGAAACGCCTGACACGATCCTCTACATTTGATGAGCCTAAAGAATTTAAAATGCGTGAAGTTGGCGTCGCAGTACTTGAACCCATCACACTATTTACCAAAGATTTAGGAGTTATATTGTTTTCAACATTCTGCACTTGTTTTGCATTTTCAGATAGTCCAAACACACAGTTGATACATTTTTGTTGTTCTTGTTTTCGTTTTTCAATTAGTTGAGACTGGCTTGCTAACCGTTTATATTCTTCTATGTAGTTACGTTTCAGTTTGCGCTCCGCAAGTAAGTAGTATGTAGCAGCTATGTGATTGTATTCATTACGATCTAAAGTAGACTGTATTTCATCAACAGACGCCAGTTGACCCTCAGCCATTTTGGATAGAATCTCCATATGGTCTTCAAATGAAAGATGTTCACGAGATATCAAGGGGACAGAAAACAGCTCAATAGGTAAGTCATTATCATCTAGCTTTAGCCAGTCATCTTGTAGGATATCATCAAGATGAGCACGCTTTTGTGGATCACGTATTAGTAAACGAGAAATAAGCCGCTTACAGTCTGGTGATAAATGTGAAGGCATGGAATAATCACAATCCATGATCTTCGTTAACGTTTCACTATCATTTGTTTCTTGAAAAGGCAAATTTCCGCTGACAAGCATATATAATATCACACCTAAGGACCAAATATCCACTTTTGGAGCATCATATGAGTCACCCAGCAATATCTCCGGAGCTGAGTAAGCCAACGAGCCGCAAGCTGTGTCTAAATTAGTGCCAGGAATAAATTTATTACTGAATCCAAAATCTGTTAACTTAACCAAACCCAGTTTCTCGAAAAGAACTACATTCTCTGGTTTTAGATCTCGATGAACCACTCTTAACTTGTGGCAATAAGCAATGGCAGTTACTATTTGGCGAAAATACCGTTTTGCAACTTTTTCACTTAGACCATCGCCATGACTTGTTATGTAATCATATAGGTCTCCTCCGTCACCTAACTCAAGAACGAGATACAATTTGGTTGGCGTGTCAATAACTACATATAATCTAACCACATTTGGATGCTGAACAAGTTTCATGCATACAACTTCCTGAAACAAATGATCTCGTGAAACATTGTCCAGTTTGGTCTTGTCGATTACTTTCACTGCAATTTTCTCACCAGTAAATACATGGCGTGCTTGTTTCACAACAGCATAATGTCCTCGTCCAATTGTATGTTGTAGATCATATAAACCGGCAATTTTCGTATCGATATCGGGGTTATAAAAGAAAGGTTTGTCACACATCTCCTACAGAAACAATGAAAAGTCATAGATTTCGCATAAATAAGAAAAGCGCACTGTGAGTAAAAAGAAATGGTGTTATCCAGAATTTAATGGACGGCTATTTCGATACCGCTTGAAACTTACCAGCTCCGTGTACCCTCCATAATATAGTAACAAACATTTGTGACACTCAAGACCAGTGGTGAACTTGTACTATTATCACTAGGTTGTAATCTGGTGATTAACGATTGTTAGGTTGCCAGCCTTTGATATTGCACGACTGATATGATTTAGTCTATTTTTTTACTTAGAACTACATGTGTTTCTCGAATTAAAAATTATACCTAAGATCCTCAATATATTCATCTTGAAACAACATAAGAATGAGCATTAAATTACTATCCGCTTCAAATTTGATACGACTTGTCAATCAAGTACAAGCTTATAAAGTTGTTTGTGTGGCACACGTTTCCTCCTAAAGACTGGCAATAGTCAGCTGTTCAGTGTGAGTTAAGAGGGAGAAAGGTTTGAACTCTTGATAGAACACTCAAAAATGTATTTAAACAATTTAGTCACTATCTAGGACCATTTCTAAGTAGCACCTTAATCAGATATAAACTTAGAAAGCAGTAATTCCAACTGTCTGTTTAAGTCCCTTGATGAAGCTCACTTGAATGCTAAATGGCAGACCTTTTAAGTTCTAGAAATGGAATCAAGCCAGGCTGGCACCAATAAATAGCGCTGACGTTAATCGTTTTCTTTTCTCGATCCACAACTAAAGCAGTGGTTATGCAGTTATTTATCGAGGATGAGCTGCTTGTCACTTGTAAGATAAATGCTTGAGTTTTAAATACTGAGTTATGGATCAATATCTCGTCTGTTATAAGCGTTAATAAACACAAGTTACATCAACTCAGTTGAATAGTAAATGTGATTTATCGCAAAGATTAGTAACAACGTGTTGAGAGGTGTTATTTTGGTTTTGCGAGTAATCACAGTTTAACATTATTGAGAACTTAGAGAAGAAATGATTCTTGAAACCTAAACAGGATTGATTCTTCATAACAAGCACTCTTACCTATAAAAAATCCATTTCCAAAAGGTAGACAGTAGGGCCGTATTTTTGATATGACTGACGTTTACGATAAACATCACGATAAATTACCCAGGCATAACAACACCTGCTGAAAAAACCGAGTATATACTCGAGCTAGCCGCTTTTCCTCCCTGTACCACGCAATAAACGTTAGCGTACTTTAACTACATATGAAGTTGAGCTAATGTGAAAATTTATGAGAAGTTATTGGTCTGAAGATATTGATGAATATTCAGCAGATTCAAGTGCACAGTGTTAAAGTCCAGAATAAAGTGATCTCCAAATCACTCTGGATGATATGGGAAACCACTCCGCAGAATTAAAAGTATGATATAAGAATGTTTGCAGTCTGCCAAATAAAATGACAGTGCTCAAAATGTGGTAGATACAGAAAACCTTGATGTCACTGGCATTTGATGAAATGCGTTAACGTCAGAATTGTATGATAGTGAAATCTAGTTGCTTGGTTTCTGGCATTGTAGAGCTGTAATACTAAACGGTATTAGCTTCAGTGTTGTCGTGTATATGAAAATTTTACCTTAACAACCTAGTATTTTAAGGCTGAAACTTCAAAGGGTAAGATACTGGTTTATTTATAGGATGCCGCCATTCAGAATGAGTAGTGGATAAATCCGTTTTCATAAACTCAGACCCTAATAAAACAGGTTGAAAGACTTTGCAACTGATGGCTTAATGCACTCTCTACAAACTAGAGAAATGTTGGGGACGATAGATCCCCAAAACCCACATTTCATAATTCCATCTTATCGATTAACTTGTCGATTAAATGTTTAGACGGTAGTCAATTGATGAACTCATTGCTTAATGTTTAAAAATTTCTCATGACATAATCGATTATATTTATTTATATATAAACGTTTTAAATTGTATTTGTGACTCGTTTTCTGGATGTTTACAGTATATATTTTCCATACCAAGTTTGAACTTCTCCTTCTAGATAGCGGGGCTGGAATGCATCAATAGCTAAGTTACTGGTGTTTGGTCACTGAGTTTTGTTCTCGTTTGCAGATTAAGCGAACTCATGAAGCTCCAAACCTAACACTTTGGCGACGGTGGTTTCGGAAACATGGATCCTTCCAAACTTGAACTATTACTCGAGCAGCAGATGAAACTTATTCAGATGTTAGCAGATCAGATACAAAGCTTACGTACGTCAACCAAGCACTTCTAAAACTACAAGTATCGCACCATCAGTTGATGGTATCGCCAACAGTATTTTCGAGTTTCATTGCGATCCGGAATCCAATGTCACGTTTGATATGTGGTTTCGACGTTACGAAGACTTATTCAAATTTGACTTTGCCAACCAGGATGATGCTTGGAATGTCCGCTTGCTGCATTGAAAGTTGGTTCCTAGTGAACTCGAAGGGTATTGTAACCTAAATCTGCCTCTAAACCCACGCAATCGCTCATTCTCGGACACTGTCCAGTCCATGAGCCAACAACGCCTCACTTTTCAATGCGCTCTATAGATGTTTTAAGCTCACTATGAACAAAGATGCTGATTTTCTCACATATGTGGGTATCGTTAACTGAGAATGCTAACTTTTCCGGTTCACGTCGCTTACTGAAGACCAATTTAAAGCACTCATTCTCATCTGCAGCCTTCAATCGCAGAAGTTCAGTGACATTAGAAGATGGTTGCTCAGTCGATTAGACGAAGACTCAAAACTAACCCTTAATGATATTGCAAACGAATATCAACGCCTAATCAATCCAAGGCGTGACACTACGATGGTCCAGCGTGGTGGTCCAGATCGTACCGAAGTTCATGTTGTCCAACAACCACGCAACTTGCATAAATCTGCCCCAGCGACATCTAGTTCAGGTCAAAGATCCAAAACAAATCCTCTTTCCCCATGCTGGCACTGCCGTGCATGGCATTTTGTTCGATGCTGTCCATATAAGCAACGTCGGTGCAGGAAATGTACTGAGGTGAGTCATAAAGATGGTTTTTGACGAAAAGAGAAAGCCGAGTACCTCCAAAGGTACCAGAAAGCCAACGCCTAGATCTAACACGAATTCGTTGAGTCTAATAGCAAGCTGTGTGAACTCAACCCCAGTTGAGAGGAAATTTATTACCCTTAATATTAATGTGCACCTGTTCAGATTGCAAATAGACACTGCACTGACGTAACAATTCTTTCACGAAAATATTGGATCAGAATGGGAAGACCATGCACGGTGCCAACACTACAGAAACCTCAAATTGCATACAGTAATTACGTACGTTTGTTGGGCCAACTAGATTGTAAAGTGTCTATTCACGATTCGACGTTTACCGGGGTATGTTACATCGAACCAGCTGATCTTAATCTACTTTGGTTAGAATGGTTTGACCATCTACATTTAGCTGACGTTCCATTAATCATCGTATGCTATATGGTGGAACAAACTTATGAACCTGAAGCATACTCGAGAGAACTATGGACGGAGTTTTTAACCATTTTCCAACCTGTATTGGGTCAGTGCACGGCAATGACAGCAACACTTTGGTTGAAACCTGGAGCCAAACCTGTCCACCGTCCAAAGAGAACCGTGCCGTACGCAGCATTATCGGAAATTGACGAAAAACTTAACCACCTTCAACCACAAGGAGTTATTACACCTGTTTCTTATTCTGCCTGGACAGCACCCATTGTGGTTACTAAGTAAGGTAATGGCACAATCCGAATATGCTCAGATTTTCCCACAGGTCTTAACGCAGCTATCAAACAGCATCACTAATCACTGCTGGTCCCTGCAGATTAGTTCACGATATTAAATGTGTTGGGGACTATAGATCTTCAGAACTCATATTTTGTAATTTTATCTTGTCTATTAACTTATCGATAAAATGTGTAAATATTTGTATGATGGTCAGTTGATGAACTTATCGATTAAATGTGTAAATAGGTCACTTGATGAATGTTTCAATAGCAGCGAATTGGCGAACTTTTTGATTGATAATCAAAAATTTTCCATGACAATATCGATTATAAATATTTGTATAAATACGCTTGATTTGTGTACTTGACTTGCTATCTGCTGTTTGTTTGTAGAATACACTTTCTACACCTTACCCAGACTTCTTGATCAAGTGGGCGGAGTCGGGAACAGCGAACCAGGATAGCTATCAAGTCTCTGAATCATTGATCCTTCGTTTCGTTCGAGTAAGACGAATCAGTGATAGTATTCAAGTTTAACGAACCTAACACTTTGGCGACAGTGGTCTTTCAATGATAGACACTTCCAAACTTGGACTGTTACTTGAGCAGCAGCCAAAATTGATGCAAATGTTGACGGAGACCAACGTTACGCCTCCCTTGCAGCCAAGCATGTCTAGTTTAACCACGGCACCATCGGTCGATGGCATCGCAAATAGTATAGCTGAAATCCATAACGATCCTGATGCTAATGTTACTTTTGAGATGTGGTTCAGGTGTTATAAAGATCTATTTAAATTTGATTTCGCCAATCAAGATGATGCTTGGAATGTGCGGCTGCTATTTCGTAAACTGGGTGCAAATGAGCTGGACAAGTATTGCAATCTGATCCTGCCGTTGAACACACGTGACCGATCATTTGAAGCCACAGATCAAACATAAAGCCAATATTTTGGAGATAACTCGACACTGTTTCATACTCTTTTTCGATGCTTGAAGCTATCTATGAACGAGGATGATGATTTTCTTGGGCGTCGTCAACCGTGAATGCGAACGCTTTTGGTCAAAGTCCTTGACTAAAGATCAGTTTAAACCCCTGATCCTTATTTGCAGCCTGCAGCACCAAACGTTTAGCGACTTACGAACGAGGATACTAAGTCGGTTGGATCAAGAGCCGAAACTCACCCTGAGTGATAAAGCTAATGAATCTCAACGTCTCATTAATTTGCAACGAGACACTTCTGTGGTCCAGAGTGGTG